CCATATTCCCAGAGTAAATGCTTTCCATATTTACCCTCCAAAACCCCCTCATACTGTTGTTGCCAATCTGTCAGAGAAATGGTGTGTAAGCACCTTTTAATGTAATGGTTTTGTTTTGCTCAGAATCCATAGGCAGGTGTCAGTGCTTTTCAGTCAGTTAAGTGAAAAAAACAGCTTTACTTAAATTTTTGGAATGTTCTTCATGCAATGTACATTTGATCTGTGACTTCACATCTGTCTATTAGTATATTCCTCCAAAGTGGTACACACTTGTCCTTAAATATGTATTATTAGTTTTACATATAATTAGAGAAATATATCTATGTGTATATATGTGTGAATATAAACAAACATTTTGTTGGCACTGGCACATTTAACAGTGCATAAACCAGATTTCTGCAGGCTTCAGATTACCCTGTTTAATGAAACTTAGACATCAGAGGGAAAGCATCCCAAACTTGCTGGGGTAATGAGGGAATAGCAGACTCCACCTGCAAAAGAGCCCAATGAAAAGACTTGAAGTGGGCACTTGGAAGCAGGCATCCCATAGGACTGTACAGGTCCTAAATCCTGGCATGTAGGTCCTGGCACCCTTCCTCTCTGGCATGCATAGTCTTTGTGGAATGACTAGCTGATGGCTGGGTTCCACTGGGTAAATTCCAAATCCCGTTTTGCCTCTCGTGTTTAGGCAGCCTCCACAACCAATGCCAAGCCCTGAGTGGCAGTTTCCTCTGTGCAAGGTGGACATTGGAGGGAGGACCTGTCTGGGAGGCACAGGGAGCCCAGCAGAGCAGCCCAGTGGCTTCCTGGTGACCTTGAGCTTGCCCATGCCTATTGGGAGGACACAAACAAACAAGAAGAGGAGACCTTAGTGTTTCCTTTTAAGAGCTCTGAGCTGTGGTGAAAGTAATGCATTTGTCTCCATGGTGCCTCTTCTGTGGATGAGAGCTGGTGGCTTCTCAGTGATGTGCTCCTTTCTGTCAGTCCAAAGTCATCAGCCACCATCAAAGGCTGCCATGTGCAGAGGTGTGACATTCTCCTCAGCATCAGCCCACTGGGTATTTATCGCTGGACCTTCCAGCCCAAGCTCCCCCAGACAGCTGCCAAGGAACCTTTGGCTTCTGAATCAGTATGAGCATCTGCGGGCCCTGTGCCAGGGAAGCAAAGCAGAAGTTCCCCAGCCAAAAATGCACAAATTAAATTTTGCTCTGCATTTAATTGATGTGGATCTGTGGTGGTGTGAACTGTAGAATTGTGGATGGATGGGATGGAAGAGAAGTCTTTCAAGTTTGCTTGGGGTGATAGTTTTAAGCAGGTGATTTTTTTTTTTCCCCACCTATTTTGATGCCAGTTTTGTGATTGTCATTTCTGTTGTGACTGTGTAACTGGCTGACTTGACTTGTGTCTTGGAAGTCTTTATAGCATTTAATGAAATAATCCTTTTATTTTCCATAAGAATCATCACACTTAGAACATTTCAAATCCTCTGTCCTCATTTTGTACTGCTTGAATTTCACCAGGTTTCAGAAGGTCAAGAGATTTGTGTAATTGAAGCAATGAAAATGCAGAACAGTATGATTGCTGCTAAAACAGGCAAGGTAAGCCACCTTAGGTCACTTAAAACCATATGCAACTTGTCAAACAGGATAGAATTTAAAAAGGAAAAAAGGAGGATTCTGGTTGTTAAGAAATTAAGTCTGATTGTTGTAAGTCTTTCAAAGTGAGGTGTCTTTAATTTTGTAACATTTGCATCTGCTGTGAATGCTGTTAAGTAGTTCCGAGCCTTAGATAGCACAGCAGGAAATAGTTTTACTGGCTTCAGAAATTCATGTAACTCTCTTTCTCCTAAGTGATTTGTTTTCTGTGATGTTACAATGCCAGATTGAATTGAAAGGTGTTGCAGACCATTTCTCCAAATTTCATCTTTCCAGAGAGCAACTGAAGAAGAGAGCTCTCTTTGCCAGTTAATTATTTAATGGCAAGTAATTTGACGTTTAAAAAAACCACCCAGAACAAGGCATAGAAAGTGATTTTGCAGGAGAGAAAAAACAGGAGTTTTTTATTATTGTAACTGTTAAATATCAAGCCTAGATCTGCACATTTGTTAAGCTTTGCAAGGCTGTGCATTAGGCTGTCCTGCTTCTGAGTAATCAACGTTGCAGCCCTGGAGCTGGGACTTGGCTACAGTGTAGGATGTGCCAAAACCAGCACTCTGGGCAGGGAGCTGGTTAAGCTTATATGACAAGGGCATGCCCTAAACCCCAGTTGGTCTGAGGACTCTCAGACCTCAAGTTGGGACTTCAGAGCATCCCTGTGTCAGATTATAATTCATAGCCTGAAACCATCACCTAGTCGTGGGGCCCAGATCCATCCTTTCCAATGGGAGAGCATAGTCTGGATCTGGATTATATATTCTCCTCTCTTGCATTATTTCCTAACCTGCCCTAGCCCATCTCTGCCTGGGCCCAAGCCCCCCTGCTCTCTCTGAGGCACAAACACCAGGGCAGGAGCCCTCACCCTCATGGAGGCAGCAGGGAGCCTGAGCCTGCGGGCAGGGACGGGGTTTGCCACTGGCAAGGTTCGCTGAGATCTCAGGATGGCTCTCAATGCCAAGGACTGTTTGTGTGTTTACAAGAAAGGCTTTTTTGGCACAGCTCTAAAATTGTCACCGAGGCTGGGTCCCAGGACTTGCCTCTTCCAGTGCATCCAGTGCAAAATTGGGTCTCAAGAGAAAAAAGTACTGAGAGAAGGAGTATGTTCCTTTTGCTTTTGCTCTAACATTACCACTTCATTATTTTATTTCATGCATTAATTTCTATATAATTTATTTTCTCACTTGATTAATATTTCCAAGCCTTTAGTTTTTCATCTGCTGTTATTTAACCCCTTATTGCCGCTCTTTGCATCCACTGGTCTTAAGTCATATTTGTAAATAAAATGCCATTCCCTCTCCCACCTACCCCATCTATTTTTCACTTTATCCTTCCCTTTCCCACCAAGGTGTTCTGCAATCCATGGGTCTGTCATTACAATCCTGCTTGTACTTCTCCTAATAATAAATATTTCCCACTTTCTCAGTACAGATGCCACAAAACTTGTGTTTGGTCCATTAATCCTCCAAGGTAGGATGTGAAAGGTGCACAGGCCATTCAGGGGGCCTCGTGTGCGTTGCAATGTCCCCTTGGCATGCCCATTTTAATAGCAAGCACATCATTTGACCTTTAGAATGTTAAGAATTTGAATAAGTACAAAAGTTTTGGGCTGTGTAGAAATGAAGCTGCTAAACAGAATTCAGCCTGTTCTGCAGTGCAAAGTCATGGCTCTGAGTGCTAAAATAACTTGGCCTCTCCACAGGAATGGGATGTTTGGCACAGGCTGTTAGTCCATGTTTTGGTGCTTTGAAACTGTGTTTTGAAACTCAGTTCATTTGTCTTCAGCTGGAAGACATTCCCATTTTCATTCCTGACGTGAATTCCTTTTCAGTATCAAACCCCATCTTCCTGTTTGTAACTGTGAGAAAAGTGGCTTGTTTTTATCTACTTCAAGTTTACTCCAGCTGCAGGTGGTTTAAAAATGAGAGAAAGCTGGAGAGGAATTGGTGAGCCTCCTGTCTTCTACAAGACAGCTGTGCCTGGGTCAGGACAAGGAGCCGGCCCCGCTGCACGGCAGAAATCGCTGGGGAGTTTGAAACACCGGTTAGCTCTGATGTTTGCTGAACCTTGGCTTTGTAGGAAAAGAAAATCAAGGGGTAGAATTTTTTTCACACTGCTTTCATCTCCTAGAAGATTGAGGCTCAGAGATTGGGTACATTGCCCAGCTACTCATTTAGAAATAAAGCCCTTGTTTGTACGTATCACGCTGTCTTTGCCCGTGCTCAGCATCATTTCTGGAGCAGTGCTGTGAGTGTGCCTGTACTACAGAGGCAGAGATCTGCTTACAGCTCACGTGGCTTTAGACTGTCAGACATGGATGTGGGCAATAGCATGTCCATCACAGCCTGGTACTTGGGGTATGCTGTGCATTTCCTTCAGGAGCCCAGCGTAGTGTTTGGATGATTAAAATGAGCTATCTGCTGAACAAGGATTTGGGCATGTCAGTGTGAGCTCTGAATTAATACTGGAAGCAAACTATACAGCTTCAAATATTTTCTATTGCTTCATGTGCTGAAAGGGAATTCAAACATGTTGCAGCCTTTTATAGAGGAAATGAGGGACTAGTGTAAGATGTCAGTGTTTTAAAACTCAGGAATCTGCATGGGAGTATGTAATTCATCTACAGATTCAGTTGCACTTATTTGACAGTGGTAGCCCATTGCCAAATTCAGTTATGTTAAAGGATCCCAATTCAGGTTTGAATCATCTATCCCAACTCTCTGGTGATTGAGAGAAACCCACTTCAATGGCTGCAGTTCCAAGATTCTGCTATGTGTGAAAACTGTAATTAAAGAAATGGTGGAATCTTTCATTGCAACGTCCCAGTATGAGTATTGAAGAATCAGCCTGTCCTCTATGTAAAACAAATAAACAGCAGTGCAACCAGCTGAAAAAAGGTGCTTTTTAATTTTAAGAAGTGGCATCTCCATCTGACGTTCAGGTCCTCAAGCATCTCTGCTGCAAGCAAACCAGCTGATGGTAGGTGCCTGAATACCCTGATGGGGTTGGACACCATTTGTCAAGCACTGTTACACAGAGCTCAGCTGGGCTCTGAGCACTGGAGGTCAAGTGCTCAACTGCTCTGGAGGCCTTTGCAGCACAGGTGGCTCTGTGTCCCTGCGGTGTCCTCAGACTGCACAGTGGCCATCACCCCGTGCGTGCAGACACAACGCTCTGTGCAATACAAGCCACCTCAGCCAAGCCATTTATTTCACCAGGCTATCGAGGAAGGGTTTAAATTCTGCTCTTTCTGTACCCTAGGTGAAAGCTGTGCACTGCAAAGCTGGTGACACCGTTGGAGAAGAAGATCTGCTGGTGGAACTGGAATGAAAGCTTGCTTCCACACTGTTGAATTAACTAAGCCTTTATTATTCTTATCTGTAAAGTAACATTAAGACAATTCAACACAGAAGACGGACGGTACTATGCACGAGATTTTATACAGGCATATTTACTGTATCAGTGGTTAAGACAGCAAACACAGATGTTCAATCTTGGCAACAGATCCCAGATTTTTACTTCCAGAAATACTTGTACATAACCTTTGTAATGCTTTGATTTTTCAGGATCAAATAAAATCAATAAAATACCATTTCTGCTTTGAAACAGGAAAAGCCTCTTTTTTTAAAAAAAAAAGAAAACACAACAAAAGCCAAAAACCTGATTTGTCTTCTCCACAGCCATGTCCCTGGTTTGAGGCCCCAGCCAGGCTGTACAGAATGGCTGGCAAGAATGAAAAATTAACCAGTGAGCAAACTGAGCAGTTCTTCTTTACTCTGTATAAGTGCTGCACAAGTACCACCAATGGCTTAAATTCTGATCAGATTTATTTCAAATTAGGATATGCTTTTATCGAATTATTATTTATTAACAAATAATAAATTATTATACAGTTATTTATTATATATTATAAATACTTATATATTATTGTATTTTAATGCTTTGTATAGATTAGTTTTAAATTACAGATTTGAGGCTTTATTTTGCTAGTGCAGATATTTCTCATGTGTTTTTGTTTAAAGTTGTAAGGGAATTGTCTTCTTTTTTTTGAACTCCATACTCAATTTCCCCACCCTTATCTTCTTGATACTGATTACTGCATGTCTTTACAGAAAGATCTGGCACTGTTTTCAGAGCTCTTTAGCTGCCCCAAGGTACTGCTAAGAGCAAACAGTAGGACTTCGGAATGCTTACAGGAAAGGGAGACAAAGGGACCTTGACCACTGCCCCGGAGTGGAGCAGGCGTGCTCTCATTTTCTTGCCTAGGGTGTGCAGAGTCCTGCTGCTTCCCAGAGAGAAACCCTGTGGCCAGAGGTTCCTGGGCTCTTCACTGGAAGGTGAAGGATGAAAACAGTCGATTACAGGCCTGGTAACTCATGTTCAACCAGGAAAGTTTGATTCTGCTTGAAATTTCTGACTGAAGAGGCATTCTTCCTGTTCTTGAGATACTGCTAATTAACTACATCACATGGCCAAGGGGGGAAATGTAGTCCAGGGATCTGCTTAGGGAATTAGTTTATAAAACTCATCAAGGTGAGTAAGGAGAGTGTTTGGATAGTACCTGCCTTCCAGGAAAACGAATGCTTTTGCCGTTGGAGAAACTGAGGCAGAGACCCTGCAGATCTCCTTACAGGTCTCCTCACTGCCATCTTACCCCTTCCCAAGGGAGCACAGTTCAGTCTCTGCGGGTTGTCCTAAACAGACAAGTATTGTAAAGAGACACACGTATTCTACTATCAAGTTACTTGTTTTGCTTATTGCAGCGACATAAAAGCTTTTCTAAATGAGATGCTGCAGAGCCTACCACTGCTGAAGTTTAGGCTGATTCCCTACCCCGGATCTCCTCTGGCCATCACAGGGTTACTGGCAGTAGTAAAAGAAGCAAAAGTACAGTATTGTTTTTAATTGTATCCTTGCTGCATTTGATGGCTCACTGTGCGGCATACAATGCCTGCTCCCATCCCTTTGGCAGCTTTGGCTACTGTACAATCTATCTGTACCAAACACTGCAGCTGAAGGAAAATATAAGGCACAGGAGTGTAACAACAGAAAGCTACAATTTTCCCAGATTGTACAGAAACCAGCACAGTTGGTTGGGTCAGGGGCACAACAGTCTTCTTTATGTATTTTTTCCCCAATTTAAATGTTGCAATAATCACAATACAGGTCCTTTGGATATTTTTATAATGTATATAATTTTTTCCCCCCCATTAGGAAACTCAGTTTGCATATGGTTGCAAGACATGCATTAAAATGCTTGGCAAAAAGTCACCTTGACAGTAAGTGCTCACAACAGCTCCAGTGTACATTTGCTTTTCCTGGTCCCCAACAGCCCCCACATCCCCCAAAACAGACACACACACACACACACACAGAGACACACAGGCCCCCAAATCCTACAGTCACACAGTGAATGGAAGTGGAACCCCAAGTGCTTAGAATGTAAAATTAAAAATACAATTTTAAATGTAACTCTCTTATATTTTCTCAGTATTTCTTGACAGTGCCTTTTAAAACTAAACCTGGTTTAAAAATACACCTTTCCAGTTCAGAAAAAATCCCACTGCAATGCAGAGTAAGAATGACCTTTACATTTTCTCCAGCAATTTCCTATTTGTCTAGAAGCACCAAGTTATCTGATCAGCTTTCCCTGTTTACATGCAGTAGCCTACTAAACCCATTACAAGTCAATATTCAATAGGAGTTGTGCTTTACTTTGCAGACATTTAAATCAGTTTCAGATATTAGTGCAAGAAAATTTGTCAATTCAGGGGAAAAAAAAAATTAATCTGTTCCTCTGCCTTTCATTGACTTCCATTATTATGCACCAAGGCAAAGGGAGAAGTTGAGGGAATAATTAGATCCCAGAGCCGGTGTGCACATACAGTTATTTCGTACCTGGTGCAAAGCCAGTTACCTGCAGCAGGCTGGGGGGTTCAGGAAGACACTGACTGCCTGGGGAGGAGTCTGCAGCTCTGGGCCTACAGGACTTCAACACTAGCGCCAAGGCTCCTGGGTTGGGAGGGTTACAAGAGCTCCTGCATTTTAATAACAAGGTATTACAGCTTTCCTGGAGAGGTTACCGAGCAACACCTGCTTAGCACTATGTCTTCAGCTGGGCTGCGTCACCTCCCGTTTCTATTCCCGGCTTTCCCGTAGGACGTAGGAGAGGCCGTGCTTCCCCGAGGAGTCGTAACTGTCATAGTAGGGGAGCCCGACCCACTCGGGCGGGTACGTGGCCGTGCTGTACACGAAGCACTCCAGGACGCCGTCGGCCGCTGCCCGCGCCTCTCCCGCGCTGCCCTTCCCTTCCCACTCCACCACTTGGATTCTCATCAGGGTGCGCTGGTACATGTCTGGGCAGCACTCAAACTCATCCAGGAACTGCAGCATCTGCTCGTCGACAGAGTAAATCTCCCCAGCAATGTGGTGGCCTGTCCCCGGGATATTCAGCATGTAAGGAATATTGTATTTCCCTGCAATCACCAGCGGGTACTTCTCCACTGTGCGGCCCCTTCCTTGGAATTTCGCTAGGCCTTTGGCCGTGTTGATCATGTGCTTGTAGTTGGGCTGGCCCTTCTTGAGCGTGCCGTAGACGAAGACACGGGCCATCGTACTTGCAAAAGCCGCTGAAAGACAAAGAAGTACATTACTCATGGGGCCAGTGCCCTGCCAAGGCACCTCCAACACAAAGAGTTGTTTGGGCACGTGCAAAAGTGGTCTCTTAGTCCAATACCACATTTAAGTATCATACTCAATTCAAGTATCTTGAAACTTTTCAGACAACTGCATCAGTGAAAAACAGAGACTAGAAAAAAGTCAGCCTTTTGCAGTTCTTTGCTGTAACCAAATTAACATTCTCTAAGGAATCCCAAGCATCAGCCAACATATCCCTGACCCCCAGGAAAAGCTCTAAATCTTTCTTAATTTTTCTCTCTCTCACCATTATGGGAGCTGTGCTGCAGCAAGTGTGTGGTGTCGTGCTCAGTGACTCCCAAAAGCAAGTGTAACCTGGTGTGGATTCATCTCATGGATGTGCTGGTGGATTTGCAATAATGCCAGTGCTGAGGTCCTGCCTGCTGAGTGACAGATAAATGCTGAACAGCAAGCTGTGGGGCCAGGGGAGAAACTGGAAGACTGCTGGCAGAGAGACCAGGTAAGGCCATGTTCCTCCTCTTCCCCAGACAGACACCCCGAAGTGTTAAATCACCTCAAGTAGCTGGTCTGCACATGTGTGAGCTCCCTCTTGAAAACAGACCCTGAATGACCATTTATTTTATCTGTGAGCATGAAACACTCAAAATTGGTTTAAATGGGATAAAAGACTGGCTTTACTGAAATGTAATGGGGGAGAAGGTACCTTCATAGTTCCTGCATTATTTTTTCACACTGTGCCGTTTGTCCTCCATCATTTCTGTAGAGGTAGAAGCAGTTCCTGCACTGTGATGTTTTCCCACATTTTACCTGTGGTCACTGACTGGGCAGAGCCTGTCTCATCCGCAGTCATCTGGCTGGGACAGGCACCTGATATCAAGAAGCCCATGCAGCTCCTCTCAGAAAGGGTGTCATTAAATAATGTATTTCAAGTTCAAGAAATATTTAAAACCAGACTGGAAGTAGAAATTTAATCTATTTTCTGCAATTTACCCTTATTTTAGTAAACTGTTAGGTTAGGTCAGTTATCCAAAAGGGTGTGTTGCTGGCCGAGAACAGTATCATTTAAAAATCCTCAGTAGCCAAGCAATTTCCCCTTTGGTGAAGCAAACAGTTTTTCTCTGTATCAAAATACAGCTTTCCAAGCAAAAGCAGTGTGTGCCTTCATTTACTGGCAAACTGCTTTCACTTAGGGGAATAAGAACACACTGATTTTTTTCCCTGTATTTTATCAGATATACTTCAGAGTAATTTATCCTTCATGACATAAACGAGGTTTTTTCTTGGATGCAGCTCATTCCCTCACAATAAAAAGAGCATTAATATTCAGTCGGCCCGAGTCTCTTTTATAAGAAAAATCATTACCTTTCAGATTGTGTTTTGAATAACAAACACGGATCCTTCAGGAAGAAACTTGTCCCAGTGGGGATTGAGAAAGGATCAGAGTTAAGCATTGAAACATGCAATTAATTCCCATTAGGGGATTAGGGCACTCGTGTTCACTTTGAATCAGAAAAATGAATTGTGAATTAAATTGTTCACAACCAAGAGGTTACTTGTCAGAGTTAATAAGTTAAAAAATAAAAAGGGAAACCTAAAACGCACATAAAAAGCTCTATAGTGAGTGGTGCATCTGTAAGAAAAAGATACGCTTCATTTCCATTAAACAAAAGCTCTGTCCCTACTGTACAGCTGGAGATAAGCTTCCAAAAAGTTCACAGAGAACAGTGTCACCATTTCCTGAAACTGGTGAAAACAACTTCCCTGTTTCTGATGGCACAGCAGCTGGCCGTTGAGAAACATCACCCATTTAAAGAAAGGCACCCATCATCCTAGTGCAGGGTCCACAGAATTCAAGAGCAACAAAGGAACTTGCTAACCCAGGTTTGGACAAGTGTTTCTGATTTAGCCTTTGAGCAGATTGATTCAGCAGGCAGTACAAACAGAGATGGAGTAGGAATCTGAAGTTTCAGCCACAGCTCCCAGTGGCACTTCTGTGCCCCACAGAGGCCCTGTCGCTCACGCTGGATGGGCTGAGCACAATGACTTCTTCTATTAAAAAAAAAAACCAACAACAAAGCAAGGCCCAGCCCTCCAGCCAAGGAGGGATTGAAATAAACTTGGCAATAACATTTCCTGATCACTGCTCCATATAAATAAGACATACACAATTTTCTGCGCAATAAATCTGGTCTCCAGTGTGCCGTGTGTTGCACTGCAGAAAGGCTGTAGATGTATTAGCATCACTCAAAGCACTCGGAAATCCTGGGCTTTTAAAAGAGTTTTAGCCACCTTGTGGCAGGAGAGCACAGAGCAGAATTGTATTTGAGGGTCATTTCACAGGCTTCCACCACGCAGCTGAAAAGAGTTATAGATGGCATCCCCTTGCTGAATCACCAACAAGAAGTTGCCTTTTCTCACTTAATCCAGTTTGACACTTCTTACCTTCACTAAACCACCTGAGAGGAAAAGAAAACCCACCAAAAACCAAACAAAACCCGCCCAGACGTATACTGAATATTAGCTGCCAGGACTAAACAAACCCATTCAGAAAGTACTTTCATGAAAAATTCATACCAGAATCATTAAAATTTAATGGCATGGGGAAACACGAGTGAAATTTGTACATCATCTCTGCAAAGTATTTCTTTTAGCTATGAAAGATGACCTGCCAGATTGCTTGTGGGATCTGTAACTAGTTGCTTTATCAGGCAAGATGCAAAGATCAGAAAATAGAGGGACTACTTCAGCATCACACAGGTAGGTGAAAAGTGGCTCACAACTGCTGCCAGCTAGGAGCTGGGGTTGCCACTTGGCATTAGTGCTGGTAGGGCAGCAGTATCCACATCCACCCTCACCCACCAATGGAGTTCTGGGTCAGGGCTTCCGTTTTCCCTCTCAAGGCTCAACAGCTCCAGCAGGGTGAGAGAAGGGTGGGTGACCATGGGGACAGTTGCTGGCTCACTCACCATGCATTCACAGATGAAGCTGCAACCAGGCTCTTTGCTCCCAGGTTGTGCCCAAAGCAAGACCTTGCTTCCCAAGTGGCAGCAGCAGCTTTGGCAAAAAACACCTTTCTTTTTTTAAGCACAATTCAGACCATTACAGGACCCTATCAGCTCCTTCTTTAAAAAAAAAAAAAAAGCATGGCCCCAGAGCTGTGCATTACACTGGCTCCAGGGCTGTTTGCAATCATGCTCACAGTGGGTTTGGGAGAAAAAGTTTCAACAAAATAAAACCTAACTCAGAAAGTATCCATTTCTCTCGCTCCATACAGTAACATTATTTTCCCTTGAGAAAAATTCTCTGCATTGGCTCTGTGACCAGATATAGTTACACATTAATTCTTCAGAAGTTTCTTAAAAACTGTAGGAAACAGGTGAAAAAACAAAATGCCTTGAACTTTAAACTTGAGCCCAGTCTGTTTGAATGAAGGGAGTTTTAAGGTCACTCTTCACTCAATGCTAACTTTCAAGAAGGACTAACATGCCAGAGAGGACTCCTGGGACCGCATCCTGTTGGTCCTTTGATGCTTTCATTTTGTTGCTTGCTATTTTCTTTATAGCACAGACAAGGGCTTCCTGCCTCGGCCGACCCCTTCCCAACCTTGCTGAATACCTCGGAAAAAGTTTATGGCAAGACACCTTTCTTACATTAACCACAGAGGCACCAGTGAAACGATGGCTCCTTTGAAATCAAGAGGTTATGGTCTCCTCGCAGCGGTCACCCACTCCAAAGCTGTGAGGTGCTGGTTTGTGAAAACAAACAAGAGTATTGGAGTAACCAGGGCCATGCTGGATGCTACTGGGCACTACCTCAAACTCCATTTAACCTCTGCAGATTCTTTTCATTTCTACCTTGGATAACTCATATCCCCAAACCAGTAAATACTCCTGTGCTTAAGCTGGAGCATCTTGTAAGTCTCTGCCAGGAGGCAGAGTAAGGATGCCCTTTCACTGGACAGGCATCAATCATAGCACTGCTCACATGCTTTGTACCCCTTTGTCACCACAGCAAACATTTGCCTTTTGTCTGTTTGAAAACATTCCAAATCACTTCCAACTGTACTGCATTGAGAAAATGCATTAGATTCGTTTTTATTACTAACCAAAAGAGTAATTCCCAAAGTGACTTTAAGGAGGTCTCAAAGTGGCAAACAGATAAAACTACCACATGCAAAAAAATGCTGGGGATGGAATGCAGAACACATGCTGGACACATTAGACAGATCAACAGGCTAAATTTCTAGAGAGTGCAGAGACTGGAGGGGATTGGCAGCGCATCAGGACAAGGAGAGGTGGATGAAAAAACCAGAAGTTGATGCGGACAAACTGAGTTGAGAGGAAAGGGGGGAAAGCTGCCACCTCCAGAGAAAATTATATTAGTAAGTATTGACTGTTTTGTCCTAATATTAAGACATGTTGTACAAGTTTAACCAAAGTCCTGGACCTCAAATCAGAAACCTGTGGACTGAAATATTTATAAAGAGCTCAGGGCAGAGCACTGAGTCCAGAACTGTTTAACTCGGACCAAAAATGAACCAGCAGGAGCTTAAATGGGAGCAGATGAGATGGGGCATAATCTCCTACAAATATGGGTAAAGGTTTTAAGAAGAGACAGTTGATTCTCTGCATACAAGAACACAAGGCCAGCCAAAATTTTTTGCACAGAATCATTAACATAGATAGGAACAGCTTTCTAATTCTAAGAACAGAGAGGCATAAGGACAACTGTAACAAATGACCCCAAAAAGCTTGAGGGCCCAGTGCCCTCTGTCTTAGGGTGGTCAACAACAGATACCTCATCATCACAGCACAAGAACAGGGCAAGGCAACATTGATGCATTTCCAGACTTGGATCCAGACCCTCCCCAAGTCAAAGTGATGAACGTTGTGCTGTGTAAAGGCCTTTTCTTCCTGTGAGCTCTCATGCCCATTTTTGTGTCAGCAATGGCAGCAGCAGCAGCACGGAAGGC